CATGCATGCTCCTTTCAGAGCTGGTAAAACATAAACTCAATTAAGAGTTCAGTTACATGGTTGCATAGATTCTTATTGCTAGAATAATAATCTTGATTGACAAATAATGTTCTCAGTTTTGCCTTTCTAGATTAAAAAAAACCCCAAACCATGTTATCAAGTAAAGAGAAAAACACAGAAATTTCAGGGAAATGTACAAATTAGTACTGAAGTATTACACATAATATTTTCTATTCTCACTCACAAAAAGCAAAATGCCCAACCACCACTGAAAAATGCAAAGTTCACAATTCATTCATACTTCTGGAAAATTAATTAAAACAAACGCATCGGTCGATAGTGTAAACCTCAGAGTTAAAAGAGCTAATGTATAATAGAAAAAGTAAAAAATCAACAATAAGGGACAGTTCTGACTCAATACTTTGGTAATAATGACTTTATCTAAATCAACGAGAGATGCTAAGAAAATTTCAGTTCAGTGTGAGTTAAGAGAAGCACATTGACATTTCGTGCAAGGAAAAGGTAATGCAGACAGACAGAAAAAAACAAAGAGACAGTAAAGGAGTAAAGCCTATTAGCCGTATTGTCTAACAATCCACTTCTCCAAAGTAAAACTTTCAAAATGTAAAAAGAACCAATTTGTTGCATTATAGAATATTCACTGAATCCCAGTTATTTCAAAGAATGGTATGACAATTGTCATATTTTAGAAAGTCTTATGTAAATCCATGTTGTCATTCATTGCAAATTTACAAAGAACTACGTTCTACAGATGTTTGTGTCATGTAGACTTATTCAATAAAAAAAAAATGAGGCAGCGCATTTATTTATTTATTTAATAATAAATAGCATTTGTATAGCGCATATATCCCCGCTCAACAGCAGGCTCTATGCGCTTTACACTATATTATTACCCCAGCAGACCATAAAACATTCCGAAACATTCTCAGCTTCCCTGGAAGCATACAGTGCAAGCAGCTGATTAAGCGCTCAAACACTAACAAACTGACAAGATCTTTCACTGTCTATAGCCGGGTACCCATTTCCACCTGGGTGAAGTGAGGAAAATTCGTGTAAAGTACCTTTCCCAAGGACACAACGTCGGGTCCCAGACGGGATTCGAACCCACGACCTTACGGTTGCGAGTCCGAGAGCCTAACCACTAGGCCACCGAGAAGCCTAAAGAACTAAACATTGGAACACATGTAAACATCATCAAACTCTCTAGCCCTAAGCACACCAAACATTTTTAAAAGTTAGAACAGGGTGTAAAACATGGCAGTGGTAAAAACAGAAGCAGTAAATACAATATTAATTTTTCAAAGTAAAAAAGAATGGACTATCATCAACTGTAATTTTGCTAAAAATGTGCACAAGTTCTCATAACAGTATCAAGAGAAGTCCAATCTCCAGCAGTATATCGGTAAGTCTAACACACACACACATACCATATTTGACATATTTCCCAGAAAGAAGCCTTGAAAATACTAAGAAAATTTCACCCACATGACATATCATAGCTGCGTTTGGGGGAAAAAATACATTATGTCATATAAGTCTTTAGCAGAACCTGTACAAACATGAAGGATTGCAGAGTCCACTCCAGGACAGTTACAACACACAGATCAGAATTGTGGCAAAACGTTAACAGGGCTGTTAAGAGCTATAAAGTGCCAATAATGTGGAACAGAAGCAAGAAAATTTTGCAAACAAACACACTTAGTAGAGCGGTGTTTTAGACTCAGGTGTGATATCAGCACAAACCCAGTTAGGACATTCTAGACGATGTCTCCAACAACAGTCTTACAATTTGTGAGTTGTGCTGACCAAATGAGTTACTTCTTTAGGATTTTAGCTGAATGGAAATTGATACATCGACTTTATAGGTTGTGTTTGTACAATTTGTAAGTATGGAATAATAAAAGACACAGTAGACTTGAACAAAATGGCATCAACAGAATACCTATAAATCTGACCTCAATGTTCATTTTCGGCCAGTATCTCCATTCTTGGATTGCGAAAAGTAACTCATTTTGTCAGCATGCCTCACATTTGTACTCGTAATATCAGTTCATCTTCAGCAGGACTACAAGTAATGATTCTTGAAATTCTTGACATTCATTCTCATCATGTGTTCTGAGCATTTTGCAAGTTCTTACTACTGAACAATTGGTAGTTATGTGCCCACAGTGAATAGCAGTACTATCGACATTGCTGTACATCGTAATCAGATGATGATGTCAAATATGATACATGTTAACTTCTCAAAGAACCTGAACACCTTAAAACTAGAGACTGATGAACATAATAAAATCTAGCACTATGCCCAAGTCAGCTATTTCTCTCTAGCTTCAAGGGTGACTAAATCATGAGCAATCTCAGCCACTAGCAAAAGCTATATTCACTTTCCTTTAATCGAAATGAGAAGAATGCAGACTACATGCTGATTGATTGTAAATTTTAACGTTTTACATCTTCTTTGACATAATATGGCTCATTCTGAAGTTGCACTGCTTTGGTCTCACTGCCAAGGTGAACCTGGATAGATCATAGAGTGGGATACAGTGTCACAAAAGAAACAAGGAAATATTCCTTAAAATAAACTTCGGCAAATGGGAATCAAACTCAAACCTTCTGAGTGCTGTGGAGTGAGAAGAACCTGACCATTTCACCACAGACACTTGTAAACAACCCATAGCATGATCTTGATAAACAACTTAAAATATAAAAAATGGAACACACTTGCATAAAATAATGTTTAATTATAAGAGAATTTGCCAAATACCATAAGCTATACCAAGAACAGGTGTTGAATCAGAATCAAGACACATAGACTTTCTCCATGTCTGTGGTCAAACGTCGACAAATGGGGCATCGTCCGTCCAGTTTGGAGACACACAGAGCACAGCAGCACAGATGGTTACACGGACGCAGCAAGACCTGCATGGGTGCATCAAGACACATCTGGCAGGTCACCAGATTTACGTCTTCGTTGCGACTGCTGTTCTGACTTTCTCTCACATCTGGGTCAGCAGATTGGTCTGTGAAAAAGAATAAGGATGATCAAGATATTGCACATTCACATCCAAAAACTATAGTCAGAGAAAGTCACTAAGGGACAATCAGGATGTAGAAATGGCTCCACTTGATTAGAGAATCAGAAAACATGACTACAGAACTGAGGGGAAAAGATATTTAGTGTCAGAATGTGAGGGGTTCTGAGGAAACCTGTCAGAAGGAGTAAATTTTTTAAAGAGATAATTTTGCTTGTTTGAAAAATTTCGTCTCCCTTGAGCATTTTACACTTAATTTAAGTGCAATTAGATCCTTTTGTAAGACATTATAGCACTTAAAAGGGCATGAAGATCAGAAGGACATCTGAAGAAAACAGCTTTGAAAATTTCACCTGATGAGCACCTCATCAATATTTTAGAAGTTGTTAACTCATTCGCTACATATTATTTTGGGCTTCTGGAAATTTTTGGGGAAAGGGCGAAACGAGATGGTGACTAATGCGCAATTCACAGGTCATTGGGATCATAAATTCTTATAAATATCAACATGCTACACACCAAAATTTTCAGTATGATTTGTAGAATACATATGTATTGTTTATTTGTGTAATTTTCAACTTTGGTTCCTGTAGGGGGTGATTATGCAACACAATTCTAATAGGATGCGGATGAAAATTTTAAAAAATAATTTATCATCTTTGGTAAAAGTAAAAAAATGTGCTTGATCAAAATAACCAAAGATGAATACAGAACTAAAAATATTGTAAAATTTGCCAGTATTTCCATACATTCCACATAATTTGTACATTTGGATCATAACATCCAAAAATGAAAAAAATAATTTTTAGAACAAAATCTTGAGAAAAAGGACTTAAAGATACTTTAACAAACAGTAAAAAACACATGTATCTTATATAGAATTATTCAGAATTGCATTTGGAATAAAACTACACATGTTTTGGGTGGTATTTTTGTAATATTACTAAAATAGTGATTTTGGAGAAAAACAAAATATTTTGGCAATAAAATTTAGATCGAGCACTGAAAAATATTGATTTTTCAATAGAAGTGCAAAGGCAATTGTGTCACGACGAGGTGGAATCAGGCGCTCGTCAATTTTTTGCCATATGGAGTTATTGGTACCATTGTAAAGTTGGTTCATTTGTCTGTTTTTGATGCAAAAATTCCAGTCTATCTAGAATAGAAGTCGAGATATTTTGGATTGAAGGAGATAAGGGTCGCTTGGTTTCAGAGGCAAAATTAATGACAAAATGATAGCCAAAGTTTAGTGATTTCCAAAGCTTGAGAGCCTTTGGAAACTGTATATTTACAATTTGCATCCCTTTAATCAACTCTTTTCAATAAAATCCACACAGCAATGTGTTTTTAAATGGATATACAAGGTCTTGAGCCCAAAATTCAAAATAAATTGCCAAATAGATTGAAAAACGCTATAGTTTCTTCAATTTCATTATTTTAAAGAGCACCTGATTTCACCAGGATGTCTCACAATTTGACTATTTCCACTTTACAAATACAGTGGCAATATTCTAAAGAAAAGTCCCACATTTTTTTTAGTAAACAAAACAATGATACATTTTGTTTTGTAAAAGTAGGCCTACTAAGACTGGTATCTGAGCTATAATTTGGGCATCATGATAGAACAAAGTCTCAATAACTTCGAAATCGTGTTTCAAAACTGAAGAAAACTTTGGGTTTATGGTGGAAATGCTTCACCTGGAAGCTAATGTCATAACCATTATTTTAACATAGATTTATGGATTGGATCAGAATCTAAACTAGAATCATAGGTCGGTACTCGAGCTGTTGGGGGCGGCTTACCGTAACGAAGTCGCTTCAGCCGTGCCACCACACATGGCTTGCGTAGCGAATGAGTTAAAAATCCATACCATATCATTCTCAAAAAAGACAACAAATAGGTTGGTTAACACAATAAAATCTATAAAGAGAACATAATCTTGTATACTAATGTAGCCTACCTTCTGTGTCAAAGTCACTTTTGTCCAGGGGAGCTGATTGAGGTCTGTGACGTTCACGAATTTCTTCCAACTCTTGTCTCAGCATAGACAGTTGTAGATCTTTGGTGTGGAGAGCCTGGCGATTCTCTTCTATCACTTGTCTATTCTCTTCTATCACTTGTCTATTCTCTTCTATCACTTGTCTATTCTCTTCTATCACCTGGTCCTTCTCTTCTAAGGCCTGTAAATGTTAAAAAGGATAAAAAAGATAATAGGACTGAAATTAGTAATCCCACAAAAACATATAAAAAGTTTTTATGAACATTTATCGTCACTGTCACAAGAAAAATGAGTAACTCTGATGTATCTAAATCTAACTCACAGGGTCAAATAATTGTGTTACCCATCTTTATTATGACAGCAACAATAATTCTGTACATCTTGAATCTATACAACCTTATCCAAGAAATCTACAGAAAAAGCAGCTGCATAATGCTCTCCCCATCCATGCTGGAAGCATGAAATCCTGTTTTCCTAAGTCACATGTTTGAATGAAGGGAGAAATTCAGACTGCAAGCACTTAAAAAAGGAATGGCAAAACACAGACTGGGGCTACACGATGGAGAAGAACTCCTTATCCCTCCATTGCTACCAAAGCTCTGCCATTTGCACGCTAGCATAAGTCTTTGAAGAAACCATACATCATTATTGCTCAGCAGCAACAACAGGGGGATAGAGCCTACAGTCAGCTCTTTTTTACAATTGGGAAACAAATCATGAAGACATGAGCTCAAAGAAAATGACAGGTCCTAAGAGTAAAGGACATGCACATCAACGTACTAACAATCACCCCTTTCCTGCTTTGCCCAGAACTGTTCTGGGCTGTTTAATGTCGTTGTACTACCAAGGTCTAATTCGTAGGCAACCTTTTCGTAATCAAAGAGAGATAATTCAGGCAATACTATTTTTGTATTTTCTCAGTCAGTTTTCCTGACCGGTTCCGATATTTGTTGACATTTTGAAAGCATAACTTTGAAGGGAGAAGGAAGTTTGTTAAGTAAATCAAGTGCTGCTTGTGTTTTGTCACAATCGCTGCCATGGCAACTCGCGGTAGAGGTTACCAACCACAATATACAGAACTGGAAAATCTTGGCTAGGTGATGTAAGACAGTGACAGTGATGATAATGATCTTCCCACTGGTAATGATGTCTTGGATGATGAAGAAAGTGATGGCAAGAACCTTGATAGGCTTATGAGAGAAGGTATAGGGCAAAGAAACAATAGTAACTGTAACAGCAATGACTGTGATGTTGAAGCAGATGAAGAAAATCAGCATTAAAGAAAAAAAGTACAGTCATTGAAAGGCAATTCATTTTCCTACAATCCTGGGAAGTTTCAAGTGTCTCCTTCAAAAAGAAAGTTATAAGCATTTAAGTGACGGTAGTAGTGATGTTATGTTTTCCTCCCAAACATTTGTGTGGCAGGGAAGGGTTAAGAGCAGGGGGGAGAAGCAAGATACATAGAAACCAAAGACGTCAGACCTACCAGTGGAACTCTCCAACCACCCTAAATGACAATGACAATCTTACAAAACAGACAGACTTCAGAAGAGACACTCAAGCTTCCCTTTCATTTTCCTCCAGTGTCCTTAACAAATGCCACCCTACCCAATAGGCTGAACAAAGTGCAGCATGATGATGAATATAAGTCAACACAACTAAAAGGAGGTCACAGGAACATAAGATGCCTGAGATATTTATAAAAAAGACTTGATAAAATTATAATAAAGGAACAAAAAAGAGGTTGAGCAGCTGAAAAGTTGTATCCAAACACTTTGTTCTGCCATCATGTCCCTCTTCAAGTGATGTGAGTATTTGATGACACTCTCTCAGAACTATGGAACTGATGTTTTGGGGAATTTTAAACATAAGGGAAGTAATCATAACAATACTAACAGACAACCAAGGGAAGTAACAACAATGTGTACCCTAATTTTGAACAGATTTATTGTACACACTCGCATCACGTAAACGCATAACTAAACTTCTTCCAAGCAACATAGTTTAAGATAAAGATTAAGATGTAAAATGATAAACTGTCTTTTTCTATGATGAAGGAATGTTCACCCCTAAACTCCAACCATTTCCTTCTTTATTCCTATCTTCTCCCTAACAAGGACATCAAGCAAAGAAAAATCCTTCATAATTGGAGTTGAGAAAAATTCAAAACTCAATATTATTCAAACCTCCATCTTGTGAATCCAAGTCAAGTTCTAAACCACTTATTCAAATCAAAGCCACACGGCCAAGCCAAGAAACACTTCAGCACTGAGATGCCCTCTAGCATAGAGAAACACAGCATGTGGCAGTTCAGACATCCCAGGTCTTTGACAACAGTCTCTGTCACAACATTCAACACAGTAACGCCAGAGTGCTGTCACTACATGTGGTCAAGACATCATGAATAATAACTATTATTTCATTTCTGACCAGTAGGAGGTGTACACTAGAAAGAGTGAAATAACACAACAGAATGAGTACCTATAGAAAGGCACCATGAGTAATGTAATTTGGAAAACTGAGTCCTTCCCAACAATTCATTCTTCTCTCTCAATTAAACTAATCACTGTCATATGTTATCTGCTATAGGAATCATTTCTTGAGTCTAGTGGGAGGGGGGAACCCATTAGCCTACACAATAAGCACAGGTGCAGAAGGACCAAAAGTTTTGAACATAATTACAAAAAATAAAAGTACTCATAATGGAGTCACGAAGCTCAAGAACGAGAGGATTTTTCTGGAGAGAGATATATTAGCATTATCATAAGGATATAAAGGTCAAAGGTGAGTGGTTTAGACATACTGGAATATATTTTAATATCAGTGTGTCAAGGTCACAAAGGTCAAAGGTTGTAACTCACCTGCCCCAGTTCTGTCTTCATGGCCAGCTCACGCCAGTGACGCTCAAACCTCTGACGCTGGAGTTCTCTCTCCTTGGCCTGGATCTCTGTGTCCTTGGCCTGGATCTCTGTGTCCTTGGCCTGGATCTCTGTGTCCTTGGCCTGGTTCTCTGACTTAATGACCTGGTTCTCCGACCTGATGTCCACTACTTCCTGTGTCTTGTCACAGAGTGTCTTGTGGTTGTCAGTGCCGGCCTTGAGCAGACCCAGCAGGAGGGGAGAGTCTGGGAACTGGCCACCTGGAGATACAAACACTCATAAGGTAAACACTCTAACCACTACACCAAATATTTATGACAATAAATTTTTGGAGCACACAGAGTTGCCTAGCAACACTGAAGCACCTGACACAGTTACATGACAGACTTAAGCTGTTACTTATGAAAGATGAATGATATAGAATACAAAAGTAAGAAAACTGACAACTTTACAACAAAGATTATTTCACCTTTCCGTTATTATACCTGCACAGCAATGACTTTAAAAGAAAATTAGCTTCAGTGTTATAACATTACTCAGGAAAAGTGTTTCGTGAGTGGAAAGGGGACAAGGTAAGGTGATAGAAGATCTTTTTAGGTAAAAATGGTGGAGAAGACATCAGAGATTCGCTCTGTATAGAGGAGTGACTCACAAGTCAGGAAAAAGAAGGTGATGATGGCATCAGAGATTTGCTCTGTGCTGTACCCACGTGCACGAGCTGCAGAGATAGACTCCAGGTCCAGGTACGATCTGGGACCAGCTGGTGGTGGTGATGATGCTGAAGAGGATGATGATGATGTGGAGGATGTTGCTGCAGTTGTCATTGTTGCTGCCTCAAGATCTGATTGGGATACAAAAATATATTTCCTGTCAACTCAATGATAACAAAATACAACAGTATAAACTACAAAGGATATCAGGAGTAAGACTTGGCTAAAAAAAAGTGTAGTAAAAACATCAGGTGTAATATCTTAACACAAACATTACACATGACTGTGAATCATTAAACGCGCGTATTAGAATAAAATCATCTGGCCCAATCTTCACGTTAGTTGAATCCGAGTATTCACTATATCAAAATGTGACCAATGTAAGCAACTATTTAAAAATTGAAAACAATAGGAACATAATTTGGGCTCATTGTGTCACAGTGTAAGTAAAAAGGAAAAGAACTTGTGGTGCCCCAAAGTGTTTGTTTATATGAGGGATTGCTTCCCTTGGCACAGTCTCTGAACAATTTGGTCACGTTTGCACGAGACTATGGACAAAGTTGAAGGTTGAACTGCTGCTGCCAATTACACTGGACTGTGCCAAAGTGCATGCTTTATGAAAAGGTCAATTTCTTCAATGGAAAGCCTGTCTCACATTATGATGTATTGTTTGCCACACAAGTTGCATTGCAGTGCATGGCCTAAAGTAGGACAATCTATGTCCAGTCTATCACTGTTTAATAACCGAGGAAAAAATATGACTGTGACTGAATCTCTAATGACATTCCACCACACCTTGAATACTTATGCCCCCCCCTCCCCCCACACACACATAGATAGACATATGTGTGCTGGCTGTCAATATAACCTCTCTGGCACATGATAAGACACATACTTGTATTACGCTTGTCAACAAAGCATGTGTTGGTGAGAAAGAAGGCCTCTGATTGGTCACATAAGATGGCTGTGAGTCTCTGATAGGTCGGTCATAGTATACAGTGTATGATACACAAAAGGCATAGCGTGCAATGATCCACGATGCAGAGTGATCCCTTATAATAAAAGGTTCATTGTGGGGAAAAATTGTGTCAAGTCACGTCACTGGGAACTGTTCACCCTACAAGCCACTTTTTTTAGTCTGAGTTTCTTCATTTACCTGTGTGTTCAATATCAATTTTTGGCTGATTTGAGTGAATAAAAACCCCAGAGAACTCTTCTCTTTCTATTGACTCCAGGTGTTTTTTAAATCTAGGTTTCACCGCATATATATATAAGGAACACGTTACACACATATTGCACATCGTTGACCAGCTGTTCAGATGTACTAGGCCACAATTTCAACAAAAAAATTATAACAGCAGTTTCTTACCACTATTTAAAAAAATAATTTTTAACAGCAGTTTCTTAATCTCTTATATCGGTTGCACATGCTCAAGAAATATTTTGCCAAAATTCAAATTCTAAAAGTTGAACATGACAAGAAAAGATACATAAAGTTGGAGCAATTATAAAAGAATGAAACTGTTTTTAAATATCCTGTTTTCTGGGCTTAGGTTATTTTAACAGCTTACTGATGACATTCTATAGAATAAATGTTAAAAAACATGCAAGAGTATGTCATACACAGTGTATAAATACAAGTAGTTTTTTTTTTTTACCTTGAGCGTGACTGTCTTGCTTAATCCCAACCACAAGCTGAGGGGTGAAAAAGAGAAAAAACAGACACGTGAGTTCTGTGAATTATTAAAATTGTACAGTGAATTCAAATGGTGGTAAAAGTTGTTTTCTTGTCTTAAAAATAATGACGGTAGTCAGCTGATTTGCCGAGAACACTTAAATTTCTTTTTCTTTTCCCCACATAGAACGCACTATAACATCCACATGAGATGGAAGAAAACTACATATGCGCACTAAAAATGTTCTCAAGATTTGTCTAAAAGCATACATTTGCACAAACAATGCATACAACTGAAAGAAACATAATTTCTTGATAATGTCATACCTTGTACGGTAGCTAATAAAGTATAAAAAAACAGTAATACCTTTCTGAACTCACCTCTTGTTGTTGTGCTTCATTGATGTACTCTTGACCTTTATTCTGCTGCAAAAAGAAACAGGAAGGAGAGGCACAGGCATGCTGGGTCAGGGGATCAGCACCAGGTATCCAGTCAAAGAGTTCAACACCACAGGAGAAACAACGCACCATGTCATTGTGACCTGAGGGAGAAAACAGTTAATTTTTCAAAGATTGTGGTTGATTAAACAAAATGACTCCGCTAAATATTGAAAATAATAGAAGTTCATCCTACATTTTATTACTTTTTTCACATATATAAATACATATTACTGTACCCCTATGAGAATTTAGGCAACAAAAAATGAGAAGCAAGTGATCCACATATTTTTAACAACAATCACGTGCACACATGTTCTATAATATATTTATAATTATTATGTTAATTTCAATTATGATTCTGATCTGAATGCAGTTAATTTGTAGTAATTCATTTTCATTTACTATAGAATTCAAGAACCTACCTGATAGGTCTTGAAAAAAAACAACCAGCTACATAAAATTCATTCTTTTACAACTTGAGGTAATGCAAAAAAACTAAAAAAAGCAAGCCTATTTGACAACTCTGAATTTTTAAAGTAAGTGGAACACAATCTAATAAAGTCGAAACATGGAGAGGCCTACCTGTATAATAGAAACCTGCTTCTACCATGGTATTTGGTGGAAAAACGGTTTTAAGGAGCTTTGGCCACAAGCTGAAGGTACCGGACCTGTCCGCAGAATCCTCAAATTCAGGATACTTGATACGGTATTTGCTTGAAACATTACATTGACTGATGTCCTTGAAATATTTTGTACGTTCTTTCTCATGAATACTTCTCTGTTCTTCACTTGAAATATTTCCCATGTCAAAGTGACACACAAAAGGACACTCAGGTGACTTTTTCTTGTGCACATGTCCAATGTCAACACACACTTCAAACTCCAACTGGAGTCCACAGAAAACACACTGGGCTCGGAGGTTAGAGATCATGATGAAGCCATCCTTTGACCATTTTGCTGCCTCAACTGAGCCAGGTGAACTGTAAGTAGTCAGTCGAAGGCTTTCAAACAACATAGGATACCCACCAGTTAGAGGTTTGAATGGGTGTAGGATAGCTTCACGTCTTACGTACTTGGTCCCACTATGATTCTTGTTTGATCTATTGGAGAACAATTTTCTTTTCAAGGTCTCTGTATTATTTGCATCACATGAACTGCAAATAGAGAAAACTGTTGGTGGTTCCTGTGCACCTTCTTCAACACTTGTGTCATCAATCTCAGATGATGACAATGTAGTCGCACTTCCAACAAAATTAGTTGCGACAATAGGTGGTGTATTTAGAAATGGACAGTTCGGACTTCTTGTTCTGTGGACAGCAAGGGGGGATTCTCCTGCCCACCCACTGTGTTTAACACTGCAAGAGCGACATACTAACTCATCTGATGCAAACGAAACATTGTCTGCACGTTCCCAGCCAGCTTCAGCGAATTTAACTGGAGTGTTGGAAAGTGAACTCACAAAGTTTTGCGGCAGTGGAGAATGAAATGTGCGGAGTCTTTCCATGAAAGATGTCGATGCCATATTGCTATAGATTTTAGCTGTAACACGTAAAAAGAACTAGTTTTCCATTCATCAAGAATAAATCCAGACTTCACCCAAATTTAGCAGAATATTTTTGTAATTGAGGTTTTCGGTCGGTTGTTTATAATTTCCAGAGTGATAGCAGCAAGCTCCGGAAGTACAGACGCTTTCGCGCGACTTGTTTCCCTTGTTGCTAAAATTAACCGTAGGCATTTCCCGTTGCGGTGGAAACAGCTGATCGGCGATCATAATAAGTTTTTGGTGGGAAAAGGTCTAAAAAATATTGTTTCTTTAGCTTTGAACTTTCCTTTACCATTTCTCCTTTTGTAAATGAAGATTTATTTTATGTACACCTCTTTTTCTGACTATGCCTCAGCTATTTTACCACTTCACTTTTCAATGACACCATATTATGTATCGGATCCATTCTTTGGCCGTCAATTTTAGCCGTTTTACCTTAGCCTTTCCAAACTTAAACACTTACTTGGTTACTAGGAGGGAGAATAGGTAACATCGCAGGCGGTACAATGCCCTGCTCCTCCCTTCTATCCAGGATCCACGAAAGGGTTGGCTTGCTGATCGTACGGAACAAAATGTTATGTAAGATGTCATAACGTTTTTCCTGTCCTATGCACTTTTTCAGCAGCAGCCTCCTAGTCTCTTCCTTTTGTTTTTATACCTTTAACTCCCAGCAGTGGTCACAAGCTCATCTAATTCTTTTTTTATTTCACACTTTACAACCCCCCTCCCAATAGTTCTCTTTTTCTATCTCTCTCTCTCTGTCTTCTGTCTGTCTGTTTGTCTGTCTTTCTTTCTCTCTCTCGCACACATATACACACATATGCGCACGTGTGTGTGTGTGTGTGTGTTTGTGTGTGTGTGTGTGTGTGTGTGTGTGTGTGTGTGT